CATCAACGTTCAATTTGGTTGTGTATTATTCGATTATTAAAAATAAAATTTATTTTCATATTTATGATTTACATTCAAAATTTAAATTATTTTCACTAACTAATAGGACTTTTTTTAACACAAATTAATATTGTAGTAAAATTTATAAAGTCATATTGTTTTTTTTCCCATCAAACTTGAAAATTATATTGCTCCCAAAAACCTTTACAATCTGTACAACCCTATTGCAGCTATTACAAAATTGACAACGTAATTGGAATACCTATACTTTTCAAATACTCAGCTTCGTTTATGTTCTTGGTTATGCACCAAAACTGAATTTTCCAGGATACCTCAACTCTGATTTTTACAGCCCTTTCCCGCACTGTCATTCTCTCTCCTGCAAACTTCCTAGCGTTCCTCTATGCCCAAGTATGGTACACAGTTGCAGTCAAAGTACAAAACAACACCTTCTGACTTATCTTTTTAAATCTCCACATTGCTCCTGAGTGTTCTGAACTCAGTTTAACTTTTTCAGCCAGTTCAAAATAAGTTGCAACAAGGTCTGTGAGTTGCAGCAAGGTCAGTTTAACTCAGTTTGAAGTCATTTTGTTGGACCCATAAAATTGTATTACAATCTAGGGATTATGATTTTGTTGATAAATTCATTATTGTTACTCCCTCTGTCCCACAAAGATAAACCATAATGAGTTTTAAGATTTATTCTACTTTTAGTACAAAATTCAAAATTCGATATGGACTATTTTTCTGGAATGGGGGAGTCTTATAGACAAAGTAATAATTTTTAATTTATTTGTATTACATAACAAATAGCTTCTTATATTTTGAGATGACTCTAGAATTTTTGAATGTACTAAGAAAATCCATAAGTAAAATTTTCTTAGATATAAATTTCAAAAAAAACTAGAACTTTTTTTTTTGGCATTCTCGATTATTATAAATTTATTATTTTGATGGGCCCAATTATATGCATGGATTTAAATTTTTTATTATTATATTATCATTTTATCGATAATTTTTGTACCAAAAAAATTATATAATAGATTTTATTAATTTATAGAGTATTGATTTATATAAATTTTACTCTATACTTCTTTGTCCAGAAATGATTGTCCCTCCGAACTGGATATCATGATGGCTAATTCTAGTTTTCGTTATAGAATTGATATGTTTTATCTTTTGGAAAAAAAAATTATTTTTAAATAGAGGAAGTATATATTAGTTTAACTGAAGAGATTATTACAAATGATCTTTAATTAATGTTATATATAAGTTACTATTGGGTCACTGGATCACTAGTTCAAAATGTTTCAACTACTTTAAAAAATTGAATGACATCATTATGACATAATAAATGATTTAAATATTTGTAATAATATAGTACATGAAATATTTAGAAATTTGGTTGTCAATGGGATATTGAGTTAAATTTTTAAGTCATTTTATTCTTAATCTAAACTTTGGGGTCATAACATAATTTCGTAAACTTCAAATAAAAAAACCTATGCTACCGATTCCCCTCCCATAGCCGCGACACCCTCTTTTTGCTTTCCTTCCACCTTTTTTTCTTTCTTCTCCTCTCCATTTGCAGCGCACCCTGCATGTTCATATTTCTTATTTCTTCTTCTTCTTCCTTTTTTTTTTCCTTTCGACAATTCTCGTTTGTTATACTCAATTTCTATGGCTTCATCTTAATGTATTTTTCTTCTTCATATATAAAGGATTGATGAGAAATAGAAACTACTGTTGACCATTTAAGATCATTGTTTTTGAGATCTATAGATCATTGTTGGCCATTATTTTTTGTTGATTGGATTTTCTGTTTGCATTTTCACTTGTGAGTAATGGTAAATTTATGGTAAATTTATAAAGTAACGGTTTTACTAATATATTATAACTGTTTAATTAATGACCAATCATTCAATAATATGTGTAATGAAATAAATTGGAGGTCAATTAACAGACACGTCATCATCCCATCTCCTTTCCTTTAATATACTAGTGATGTCTGGTCGCGCAATGCGCGACCCTGGCCCAGTCTATCTGTAGATCTTAGAAATATTTATATTTGAAAAAAAATAAAATTTTGTATTTGTAGCGATATATTTTAAAAATGTTTGAAGGATTTAGAAATGTTTTATAAGTGTGATCATAGAAATATTTGTATTTCACACAAAAAAAAAAAAAAGAAATTGCATTTCACCATGTATGTTTTAGAAATGTTTTATAAGTGTTACTTATTAAATATAAATAGCCTTAATCGAATAAATGTGTTGAAGTAAATGTTAGATAAAATATAAAAGTATCCTAATAAATTTAAATATTAGTAAGATGATTTATTGATGTTCTCCATTGATCGTACCAAATCAATATTTAGTTTTGGTGATTTTTAATAGTTTTGTAATAAGGTTCATCCGAAGGGTATACGCTTAAAACAAAGTTGACACTTTGTAACAAAAATCTAATTGATCAATTCAATTTAAAAAACCACTCTAATTGAATGAAACATAAAGAAAAAAAAAAAAAAACGTGTCACGTAAAGTGCAAAGGGAAATTTAGTAATTTAGTTATGGTTAAACAAAAGGGCAATTTAGTACTTTCTACATGCCACGTGGCAATCATATGAGGTGTTTGAAAGGGAGGTTTTTGTTTCTAATATAGTAGGATATAGGATTCCTCCTCCCAAAATAATTGACTTGTTTAAACTTTTACGTTTAATACAAATAAAAATTCAAGTCAAAAAATTATTTCAGAATAAAAATTCAAATAAAATAATCATTTCAAAACTAATGACGGACTCAGATGGGGCTATTGGACATGACTATATAAGATTCAAGTCTAAAAGAGTTTCTTTTTTTAACAATAAACATACTCATATTTTTCTTCTCAAATTGTGTTTAATAGATTGCAAGTGATGATAAGTTAAATTGTTAGTTTAAAGTGAATGGATAATTTAAATTACAATGTTAAGTTAATTGCTCATATTAATTTTTTTTTTTTTTTTTAAAACCTGACTGATTATAGGGAGAATTGTTTGTGAAAATGGAACATTGAGAGCATTTTAGTTGGATTTGAGGATTCTTTACTATTTGTTTATTTATTTGGCAATGGGTTGTTAAAGTTCCTTCAAAATAGGGGTCTCCTCTCCCCCTTTTAAGTTGCCAGATTTCATTTGATATTTATTAACTATGCTTCTTTTGTGACAGAGAGTCAGAGACTGAATTATGATATGTGCGCAGTGAAGGTTTATATTGGTTCCTTTGTTTAAACTTCTGGTTTGTGAATACTTTTTTTTTTGTTCTATGACTCTGGTATATGTGCAACATAATATGAAGAATTATTCTTGGATGGTGGTTTTCTCTAGAAAATCCGAGATACTTGAGAAAGCGAAGGGGGTTTTAAAATGCAAAATATGGAGCATTATTCTTGTATGGTGTATCAGCGACAAAGTTCTTTTTTATATTCTAATGATCATTTGGTTGTCTTACATCAATGTATTCAAAAGAGTCAAAATGTGAGATTTGTTTATAAACGAGTCAGATTAGTTAAGAGCAAAAGTTTCAGAGGTTGACAAGTATGACAAACATCAAGAATAGAGGTACAGACTTTACAATCAAGCATGCTTGATAGAGTTCTATACAACCAAGAGCGTAATGAGTTCTGAAATGTTGATAGTGTTTTCATGGCTTCCGATCCACGTACCTACAAAAAAGAAGGAAAGCTTTTCCCTTATGTCGAAAAAAGTACTCATTATTGGGGCGCTTGACTTTTGGGTGAGCCAAACCCAAAAGTGTGGGAAAAAATGTGTAGGGTTTATTTTGTAGACAAATATAATGTTCTCGCGTTTTGAAAACGCGAAACAATCAAATTAGATTAATATTTCGCGTTTCACAAACGCGAATAATGTTAATTCCATGCACTCAGCTTCAAACGGGTCGAAAGCAAAAAAAAAAAAAAGAAAAATCGGTTTTTCGCGTTTTAGAAACGCGAAAAACGTAAGACGCGTTTGCAAAGCGCGAAACTTTGTTTTCGCCTTTGCAAAGCGCGAAACTTTCTTTTCGCGTTTTCAAAACGCGAGAAACTATTTTCGCGTTTAAAAAATGCGAAAATCTGTAAGTTTAAAATTGTAAATTTTGCAAATAAGAATTTAGAGTTTGAAAACGCGAAACAAAATTTCTAGTGTTTTCAAAGCGCGAAAAATAGATTTAGCGTTTTTAAAACGCGAAAATATCCAGAAAATCTCCTCATCCACTCACCCGTCTCCACGTGTATTTTTTATGATAAGTCTGGAATGTATTCGCGTTTGTTAAACGCGAAATTTAAGATTCATATATAAAACAAGCTTTAACAGCATTTCTCCGCAAATTTCTTTCATTGTTCAGCTCCGAATTTTCTTTCCAAATTTCTTTCATTCTGTTGAACTCCGATTTTAAGTTTTACTCCGGAGGACTTGCTGAATTCGTGAAAGCTCTCATTTTCTTCAAATTGAGAAGTTGCTCCGAGGTTAAAGAAGATTGATTTGAGTCCTGAAGCCTATTTAAAACTCTAAGTTTTAACATTGAGGTAAGTTTATTTCGTTATTAAAAACATGTACTTTTTTATGTTTTATTATGAGCATAGGATGATTTACGCATTATTATTAGTTAATATATAATTGTGATTTAGTCAATTAACGGTGGTGTTTTATTGAGGCTGATAAAATTGAAAGAAATATTAGTTAATAGAATATTAAATTAGATGAGCATTGTAAATTATTGTACATCGATTTCTGTAAAATAAAATAAAATTATAATAATGATATTGAATTTTTGAATATTTATAGCATAAGAATAAATTATGTAATTCGGGCATAAGGTTTAGATTTAATATTAATTTTGAGCATACAAATGAATTTGTAAATTCAGGCGTATAGTTGTTATTTTAAAATTATTAAATCTGTAAACGGGGTAAATACTATGACCGCAAACTGATTTCGTAGGAATTGATTTTGCAGGCCGCAAATGTCTTTCACGGAGACAATTCGTCTGAAATTATACTGGAATACTACTTATACAACTGAACCTGATGGGACTATCACGGTACAGCGGGATGCGCCGGACGGTTATCTTATCATTGATCGTATGTTAGATTTCTCGGAACTTGTTGATAAGGTATTAAGTGTGATCGGAGTTGATAGAGAAAGGCTGTATATTGATTTTTCTTTGGTATGGACGGAGAGGTCAGGAAAAAGGTCTCGTGTGCACATTAATGATGATAATACTATTCGGTTCATTTATCTTTGTGCTGATAAATGGCCAGAATTGTACCATGAAAAAGTTGAGAGAACAGGCCATGTTTATGCAAGTACATCTGGCCAGGATATTGGTGCCAGCACTAGTGGTGGTAGAACAGTTGAAGACAATGAAGATGGAGATGAAGATGGAGATGAAGATGAAGATAAAGATGAAGATGCAGATGAAGATGAAGATGTCGGGGGTGTCAAAAGCAGTGATGATGAGTACGTCCCATCGGATGAGGACTCAGATGACGACACTGATTTTGAGTCATCTTCTTCAGTCCCATATGTTTTCGACGACATAAGTGGATGGGACAAGACTTTAGAGGAAGTAGAAAACGATGGAATTAAAATGTGGGATGGCAATCCGTTGACGCTAGGCCTTGATATACATTTCGCCAACAAGCCTGAGGCACAAGCGGCAGTGGGAGAATGGAACTTGGTACATGGTCGGACTTTCCGGGTGAAAACGAGCTCTAAACGAACATGGTATGTCGAATGCAAGACGTGTGGACCTAAATATCCGAAAGAGCGCCTTCACGGCTATGATTGTCTGTGGAAGGCGCGAGTTTCGCTACAGAAGGCCACCGATACTTGGAAAATGGTGGTATGGTCTGATTCCCACAACTGTCTTGGGGCAAACAAGAGAAACGAGTCCCGAAATGTCACGTCTTCTATGATTGCTAGACTGGTTGCCCAAAATGTGCGAAAACATCCAGATTTTGCAGTTGCCCAAATTCAAATAGAAGTGATGAAGAGGTACCAAGTCGAATGTAGCTACAAAAAGGCATGGCATGGTAGAAGAAAAGCACTTGAGGCTCTGTATGGTACATGGGAAAGTAATTTTCAACAATTGCCCAGCTTCCTCGATGCATTGTTCATGTCAAACCCGAACACTTGTGTGCAATTCAAGTTTAAGGAAAATTCAGGAAGCTCACAAAGGTTTGTATGTAGGTATGTTTTCGGGCATTTGGGCCATCTATACAGCTTATTTCATGCTTGTTGGCCGTAATAACCATCGATGCCACTCACTGCGAGGATCCTACAAAGGAAAACTAATTGTGGCATGCGTAAAGTGCGCAAATGGCACGATTGTTCCCATCGCATTTGCTCTTGTGGACGAAGAGACTATACACACTGGAAATGGTTTTGAAGTATTTGAAAAGTTTGTTCTACGGGATAGGAAGACTGTATTATCTACGATCGAAATCGGGGTATCCTTACGCCATGGACATCATGTTGCAAAATTCCCAGAGATGGGCGTCCACCGTTATTGTCTAGAGCATGTTAAAGCAAACTTGGTTGGGCATTTTCGAAAGGAGAAACTGCGAGGCAACTGTCAAATGATTGGTTCAGCGACGCAAAGACAAGGTTCTTGGCAGAGTGGCAAAAATTAGAAGAAAAAAATGAGCCTGCTGCTCGTTGGCTTCAGAAGCTGGGTGTTGAGAAATGGACATGTTTACACGATGGAGGGCATCGTTGGGGAGAAATGACCACTAACATCTCATAGAGTTTCAATAATGTGCTGAAAGGTGCTAGATTCTTCCCGATCACAGCATTGATCCTAGCATCCTTTCAGAAAAGCAACAATCTGTTTCAGGCAAACATTGATATGATCCAAAAATGTCAGACTGTTCTACCTCCTACTCCAATGAAACTGTATGAAGAGGCCCGGAAGAAATCATTGAGGCAAAAGGTCAACCGGTTTAGCAAGAGAAACCAGAAGTACGAAGTGGTTACAATAGCACCTGATAATCAACCATGGAAGGCCGACGAAGCAAGTTGTGCTGTATGCAAATCGAGAGTGCACTTGCGGAAGGTGGCAGACTTTCAGATTTCCTTGTTCCCATGCACTTCGAGTTGCCCGTGAGCTAGGTGACGATCCCTTCCCACTTTTTGATCCATGTTACACTACGCATCAATGGTACCAACAGTTTTCTGGAGAATTCAACCCAATCATGGAACCATGGCCAAAGGCAACGTGGCAGATCAGGCCAGATGACACTAAACTTGTCCACCATGCTGGCCGAGGTCGGAAGCGTGTGAATCGGAAAAAAGGTGTGATGGATTATACAAGCAAATCTGGCCAGCGAAGACTCCAAACTTGCAGTTTATGTAAGCTACAAGGCCATAATGCCAGGGCTTGCCCATATGCGAGAGTTTGCGCACGATGTGGAAGTTTAGATCATGATGCTGTCGAATGCCCTTTTTCTCATCCACCTGCTGACAGGACCGGTATTGATAAACTGTATGATCCATATGGAATTTATGGTGTGCCTAATATCAATTCTGATGATGATGATGATGAAGCGTAGTGATTATTCTGTTAGTGTTCGTATTTTTGTGTTGTTTTGAACATTCATGTAGTAAACCTCAGAGGATGATTCAGTTTGCGTTTGTATTTGTTTTAGTGTGTTGGTTTGGATGTTTCTGTAATTTATATTCGTAATGTTTTTGTAAAACCGAAATGTCGCAGTTCATTTTAGTAATATTACTAATTATTACTATAGGATATATACATGTCGAATAAAGCACTAGTTATTTGATAAACACTAAAGGTAAGAAAATTAGTTATTTGTCATCACCGAAATTAATATAACCATATATCCGGAACGACTAAAATTTTAAATTGGGGGAGTATTATTCTCGCGTTTGTGAAACGCGAAAAAAGGGGGAGTATTTTTCTAGCGTTTCTGAAACGCGAAAATAGGGAGGGCATTATTTTCGCGTTTCTGAAACGCGATTTTTTTTAAAGATTGGTTGTTTCGCGTTTTAGAAACGCGAAAATGGGTGCTTAAATTAAGTTTTCGCGTTTCGGGTTGATGTTTCTCAAACAGAACCATATATCCGGCGTAATCCATTGAAACCGGCGGTTTTTCCGGGAGAGTTGCCGGAATTGTTTCGGCATCAATTTTTTGCATTTTGTAGGCTATATATCGAGGTAAGTTGTGTTTTTTGCTCTGATTTAATCGTTTTTTTTAATTCATGTTTTAATTTTCGATTCCTATAAATTTTGTGTTCGTTTTATTTGTAATTTTATTTTCCGATTTAATGAACAGTTAATAGATCTAGTATTATAGGTGTTGTAATTGTGGAATTTTTTAAAAAATTCGGGATTGGGTTGGGTGAAAAAAATTCCGGGGGAATGAATGGGAGAGGGGGCGGCGGCGGAATGAAGGGGAGGGTGGGGGGGCGCGGCGGAATGAAGGGGAGGGTGGGGGCGGCGGAATGAAGGGGAGGGTGGGGGCGGGGAATGCGGGGAGGAGGGGGGCGGCGGGGGAATGAAGGGGAGGGGGGCGGCGGAATGAAGGGGGGCGGCGGGGGAATGCAGGGGTGTAGAGGGGAGGGGTAGGTTTAGGGTTTATGGTTGGGCTTAGGGTTTGTGGGGTGTTGGGCTTAGGGGGTTTAGGGTTTGGGGGATTGGGTTGGGTTTAGAATGTGGGTTTAGGGTTTGGGGGATTGGGTTGGATTTAGAATGTGGGTTTTGGGTTGGGGATTGGGTTGGGTTTAGAATATGAGTTTTGGGTTGGGTTTAGAATGTGGGTTTTGGGTTGGGGATTGGGTTGGGTTTAGAATATGGGTTTTGGATAATAAAATGTAGGGTTGGAAATTTTAATGTATAGGATAATTAGATTAGAATAATAATATTAATCTGTATTTACTAAAATGTAGGGTTAAAATATTTAATAAAAGAATAATTAGATTAGAATAATAATATTAATCTGTATTTACTAAAATGTAGGGTTAAAATATTTAATAAAAGAATAATTAGATTAGAATAATAATATTAATCTGTACTTACTAAAATGTAGGGTTAAAATATTTGATAAAAGAATAATTAGATTAGAATAATAATATTAATCTGTATTTACTAAAATGTAGGGTTAAAATATTTAATAAAAGAATAATTAGATTAGAATAATAATATTAATCTGTACTTACTAAAATGTATGGTTAAAATATTTAATAAAAGAATAATTAGATTAGAATAATAATATTAATCTGTACTTACTAAAACTATTTGTAAATTGTACTAGCCATGGACATTGGATCATCTTCTTCCTCCCAATCTACCTCAAAGAAGCTACGGCGAGGACCCGAGACAGTAGTTTGTTGTTTCTCCAAAACGCCCATAGGTCACACAATATATTCCATGGTGCACAGTATGATATAGGGATTTCGGAGCCCAGGCGCGTAGATAGCGCCGCGTGGAAATTAATAAAAGATGCACCGAGGTTGACAAAGGAATATATTGAGAAATTTGGTTTTGGACCGTTCTCTAGAGTTGGGTCCATCAGATGTGACCATGCTCACCTTACAGCTCTTGTGGAGCGATGGCGCCCAGAGACCCATACATTTCATTTACCTTTTGGGGAGGCTACTATCACACTCCAGGACGTCGAGGTTCTTTTGGGCCTTCGGGTTGATGGACGTCCGATTCTGAGGACATCACACCACGCCTGATGGTGGTTGGGCAGCCTATTTGGAGAGGATGTTTGGATTTAGGTTCCAGACAGAGGAGTCTAGATTGACGAGTGTTTCCATCACTGAAATAAAGACTCACATAGAGAATAATCCTTTGACGGACCTGTCCCCTGACGATGCACACCTACAGCGAGCCCGTTGTTTTGTTGGATGGCTCGTTGGCGGATTACTGTTCTCAAACACTACGAGAAACAGTTTTCCTCTCGATCTTGTGCATTTTCTTCATACTCCCGAGATTTGCTCGGAGTACAGTTGGGGTAGTGCGGCACTATGTTACTTGTACCGCAGCATGTCCAAGTCATCTCTGGCCGCTTCTGCCAAGGCTATTACCGGCTGTGTGATTCTTCTTCAGGTATTTTATCTTTTCGGTTCTCTCTAGTTTCATTTTATATTCTCCCATTATTATTGGTGATTTTAGCTAATGATTTCTTCATTCTGAATTAGCTCTGGGCCTGGGAGCGGATTTTGACGGTTCAGCCCAAGATACTGGGTGGGGATCTCGATCTATCTGATTGTCCATTGGGCACGAGGTAATCTTATACATCAAACCTTCGTAAATATTGACATTTTGATTTGTACTGTCATGTCTCAATTTAATGTTACTTTCTCCGTGCAGGTGGTCCCGCGAGAAAAAAGTTCAAGGTATCACGCGGTTCAATTTGGCCGCGTACCGGGATCAGCTTGCAGTTCTCGCAGAGTCTGATGTTAGTATTCTATTCAATTAGTATAACTTATGTTTTATTCGTTTTTTTTAACGGTGTCGAACTTTTAATTATACGTCTCTTACTTAATTACCATTGCAGTTTGTGTGGATGCCGTACACGACTCTTTTGGGTCGTATTGCCAGGGTTTGTCTTGTGGGACAGGGCATATGGCGATCTCAGACATGGCTCATCTGCGGTGATGTCGTTGCGCCACACAACCCCAGTAGGGTATTTCGCCAATTTGGTTATCACCAGCGGATACCCGGCGACGCATTACTTCTCACTGCGGCGGAAATTACTAGCCTGCTCAAGAGGAAGCCGTTTGGAGGATCCGATAGGAGATGGTTACAACAACTAGGGATATATCTCCAGGTTTGGAATGATCGCCACGGCCAAGTTGTGGGACCGATGATCTTTATGTTGGCGAGCCTTCCGCAGATCCGGAGTATCTCTTGTGGTACCATCAGTTCTTGTGAAGTATGTTACGGATCCGACGGACTCGAAAATGCGAGGGTTTTCACGGTTCTGCGAGACCTTGCGCCTCATGGTGAGTATTTCGCCTACGGTCCATTTGGTTCTTTTTATTAACACCGTTGTCGATTTATGATTCTTTCTAATAAAAATTTCAGGCCACATTGATGGAGGACGTTCGTAGTCCGAGTATTATAGGCCAGCGTACTTTCGACGCGGACTCCTTTGGTTATGATCGCTTAGGCGAGATTGCCCAGTTCTTGAGCGGGCGTTGTCCGTCAATGCAACAAATGTTGTACGTCACGATCTCGATAGGCATGTTGAGGTTCATGACATTTTGTGTCAAGAACTTGCACTGTAGACCCGACCCAAAGAACATCCACCACCTGCACCTCCGAGGCGTTCGCGCGGGTCTCGGCGTAGGCGTGGGGGCAAGAGAGAATCACATCATCTCGGCCACATCGGTCCTCCCAGCATGAGCGGTCTCATATTCCCTTCACCGCGGTTCATCCCATCGGTCTCCACATCGATCTCCACTCCATTCTCGACAGCATTCAGCCCATCGGTCTCCACATCATTCATCCCATCAGTCTCCACATCATTCTTCGCCGACCCAACAGGCGTTTTACCGTCCGATTATGTCTCCCAGACCAGCAGTCAATTTTTCCTTCACTCGCTTTCCTCCCCCGACTTCTCGGCGTCGTTTGGAGATTCTTTTATTGACTTTTCTGGGTTTCAGCAGAGTTCGCTAGATGACCAGTCGATACATTACACGAGTAACTTTCTTTCGAGTATGTTCGAGGGTGTTGCGGGTCAGCATCAGGCTGATAACCAGCTGAGGGTGAGCGTGAGAGTCAGGGTGAGGATGAGGCTGAGGATGAGGATGAGGATGAGGATGCTGACCAGGATGATCAGTTTGAGGGTCAGGGTTATCAGCGCCATGAGGAGCAGGGATCGAGTCAGATTCTAGGGACTCCACCGTTGGCTGTGAGTAAAGGCCAGAGAGTGATGAAGGAGCCCGATAGATTGACTTATAGCCTTTTTCGGGCTAAAAAGCCCAAGAAGAAGTAGGGTACTAGACTTCTTATGTAGTATTATTAGACTTGTATTTTTTTTTCCCTTTTGTTCATTTCTGTTTTTTTTCCTTTTGTTATGACTTGTTTTATTTTTTTTTTACCTTTTGTTATGACTTGTAGTATTTTGTTATGAGTTGTATTAATATTCTTAATAGTTTGATTTCACCTGCATCGTAAATACAATAATTAATATTTATAAAACACATCTTCGCCGATCAAATCGAAACACATATTTAAACTTTCTTATATTTTTTTTCATAATTAATAGTTGCTTCATCTTAAGTGTTGGTAAATTATAATAAATATTTAATAAAATTTATTCCTATTTTAAGCTTTTTTCTTATATTAAAACCATCATAATTAATAAAAATAATTTGTAAATTAAATTACATCTCATTAAATCCATAAGATTACGTCATTATCATTATTGAAAATTTTTCATATAAAATTATTTTTTAAAATAATGATTACATTTTTAATAAAATTTTTTAATATAATCATTATTAATTTTTTTTATATAATGTTCTAAAAAATTAATACATTATAATAACTATATCATACTTTTAATAATTTATATTTAGTATAGCTCTATTTAATTTAATGAGTATCAATTATAATATTATATTCTTATTCAAAATTTAATTTTCGTATTATTAAAATTATCAATATAATTTTCCTCTTTATAGCTCTATTCAAAATTTAATAATTAACAGTTATAATTTTAAAATTTTCTGTTACCATTATTCAAATTTAATAATTTTTTGAAGTCAATTTCCCTATAACGTTTTAAACTAGTCAAATTAATCATATTTTTATGCCTATTTTCTTTTTTATTAAATAAAATTATTTTTTAATTGATTTCGCGTTTTCAAAACGCGAAATCTCATTGATTCAAGTTAATTAATTAGGATTATGTTAAATTAATTAATTCTCCTTGTTTTTCGCATTTCTGAAACGCGAAAAACATATATTCGCGTTTTCAAAACGCGAATTTGTGTTTTTAGCGTTTTCAAAACGCGGATTTTTATTTTTTCGCGTTTCTGAAGCGCGAGAAAGCTATTTTTGGTCACAATTTAAACCCTAAGCATATTTTGTTCTTCATTTTTTTTTTTCAGTTACTAATAAGTAAATTCCCCCTCATTATTGGCATCACCCAGTTTTATCTTATCTTCTTTTGTCTTTTGTGCTAGGAAACTCTCATAAGCCTTAGCCATTTGAAAGTATTTCTCCTTGGACTCCTTTTTTTTTTTTTTTGTTGTATGGATTCATCATGAGGATTATCATGAAGTCTGCCCTGCAACTCTATCATTTTTGAGTGTCCTTGTTTAGCCCTCGCCTATATATCAGAAAATCTACATTTGTCTAGTTCTTTTAACTTCTTCTTCAGTCTCTTCATTTTCACCATCAATCGATACTGGTTAGTACCTCTGACTTCCTCCCAGCTTTCTGATACTACAGTTTTGAAACTAGGGTCTAGACTCCACATATTAAAATATTTGAAGGGTTTAGGAGGCTGTTTCATTCTGATATCTGTATGAACTAGAAGTGGAGTGTGATCCGATAGTCCTTCCGGTAATACAGTAGCTAAGGCATCTTGGAAATTTATGACCCACCCATTAACCAATACTTTATCAATCTTTGACATGATTCGATCAGTCTACTCCAAGTATACGGATACCCCTGTTATTTCAAATCCTGAATTTGGCATTCTTCTATACATCTTCTAAATTCTTGGATTTCTACCAACATAATATATAATAGGTCTTCTCCCTAATCTTTCTTCAATTTTGAGTACATTGTTAAAATCCCCCATAATAATCCAGGCACCAGTTACAGTTCTAGATACTTCAATTAATTTTTCCCAAAGCATTGACCTCTCTGATGCAGTATTGCTACCACAGACTGTTGTAAGAGTATACTCAGAGTTATCAATTCTCTTGACCATACAATGTGCCATTTGGTCCGTACATAATATAGTTGAGAGTTGAACCTCTCCTCCTTTCCATAACAAACAGATCTTCCCTCTATTTTTCATGTCATAATTCACAAAAGAACTAATATGATTCCACATCCTATTCAGGTATTCCTCCCCTTTAGTTGTAGTAAGTTTAGTTTCTATAAGAATAGCAATATCAATATTATGAAATGACACCATTCTAGTAGTTCTTTTTGTTTAATAGGGCTGTTCAAGCCCCTGATATTCCAGGAATACTTCTTTCATCTTCTTTCTCAGGCTCAATTGCACTGCTATTACTAGAACTGGCATGTTCCTCATCATCAAACACCCGGAACCTGGTCATATGCATTTCAACTAATCCTTCATTATCCTTTGGCATTGCATTATCTTTTCCAGTTATAATTCTTTCTGTATGTATGAGTTTTGGACCCTAATCAAGTTCTTCTTCTCCACAACAACAGCCTTCCTTTTCTGTACCTGTATCCATTCTTTTCTAGTATGAATCCTTTCTTTGCTATCCATAGTTTTGGGCAGATTTGCTCCTCTACTTTCAGTTTTTTTTTTTGTTTTTTTTACGGCAGACCTCTCCTTCATGACAATAACCCTTACAGTGGGTGCATTGCGTTGGTTTCCATTCATAAAATATTGGCTGGTGCTGCATTATTCCTCACTCATCTTCAAACATCACTTCCAGAGGGGGAAAGTCTTGTATCTCCACATGAATTAGTACTGGTGCAAACCGCATTTTAGAATTCTCAGTTGTTTCAACATCCGCCATAATAGTCCTACCCAAATTACTCGCCAATCTACTAAGGGATTTAGGGTTCTAGTACTTTAATTCCAATCCGTGGAATTCTACCCACACTGGAACATGAGTAACTTTTCTATAGTTGATTCCCTTTTCAAATGGATAGCTCCAGTGAGAATCGGACCCTCGATCTCCTGGTAATAATTATGGCACATCGTAATCCCCTAACCAGCCCACCCAATGCCCCCACCCTTCTACAGTGTAAATCAATATAGTGAAAATTTGAATAAAAGTATAATGTTGAAAATTTATGATATTGTACTTACAATGGTATAAACCATTGTAGATGCTCTTAGTATAACAAACAAACATGGATAAACCGTCATCATTGTTGAATCTTCAATGTTTCCCCCATATGCGCTTCCCATTAATTTTGGCAACACACTTGAACCCGAAGCAACCAACCATACTTGGATGATTGGAGCTTAAACATTTTTATTGTAAATGATACTCCCTCCGTCCAAAAATGATTCTTGTATTTGTGTTATTAGCCATGTTTTTTTTACTAATACTAATAGTTCAACAAAAAATAATAATAACCTTGCGATAGAGAGAGTAATATCTTTCTATTTTTCATTTACGTTACATAATATTATGATTTCTTCCTATAGAAAGAATATCATTTTTGGGAGCTTGAGTATATCTGATGAACATATAATTTACAAGTCAATCACATCGTTTTCTTTGAGATTTTAGTCAATATTTTAGAAGATATATGAGCTTTTTATTTGATTTTGTATCATTTTTACGGGTTTGATGGTTCATTAGAAGAAAGGATTAAAATCTTTGTCGAAAATCGAATTTTTGGATCAAATGGCACGATGGAGAAATAAGCAATCATACTTTTGTTCATAATTTTTAACTTAAAATGTGGTTGTCTGCATAGGAATATTTTTGTTTTGACAGAATAGATTTCATGTGCAATGGAAAATGGGCTAGTAGTTGTAAGGCCATAATATCAAAGGAGTAGACTTAGTATTTAATAATTGGGACATGAATGGAACTTTTAAGTGTCAGAAGACTTTGGGATTTTAAAATACAAGAAATTGAAGTTGATCTCTTAGCCAAAGAAGGAAGCCAAAAGAATGAAGAAATACAAGTTGCTATCCAAGTTGGAGCTCAAGTCGTGAGCAAGTTGATGGTTAAAGATGAAGAAATCAATTCCAATTTCCTATCCCAGCAAAGGACCAAACAAGAGGTAGAAAATTCTAAATTGAATTTTGATTCAAAGTGGCTGATTTTGGACGTCTATAAAAGGGAGTTCAAAGCTTCATTTTTAAGAGAACACCACCATTGCACCACCACACGAATGGAAGGCAGAGTACTCTTTGAGGATTGGAAACTTTGGTTGACATTAAAACCCTCAAAGCTTCTTGGCTGCCTTCAATTTGGTGGAGTCATTCGTACTTTCTTTTCTTAGCATTTAATTTTCTATTTTATTTTCAGAATACTAGAATTATGAGTATTAATTTTATTTTGTTATTTTTAAGTATGATTAGTGGCTAGTTACTTATAATCTAGGACTTGGATGTAGCCACCATTTTGCTTTGTTTAGTCAATTCATGATATTTTGGCTTTTCATTGAATCGATATTTGATATTCTTGTTTGTCAACATGTGAATATTTGATCACCATTTGCATGATTCAAAGGTGTTAATTGATTGAACAAAAGTTGAAAATTAATACTAGTTCGTAGGAATATTGAACTTAGGTCATGCTCTACAAAAGTAAGAGTATTTCATTTGTGATTTATGATTCCTTTGATATTAATGTACTTTTATTAATTTCTATAGTCACGAAAGTAGTCATAGGATTAATTTAAGTAAGAAGGTTACAACACGAGAGTGTATAACTTTTATATTTGTGAATCGTCGCGAGATAAATGAAATCCTAAAACCAAATATTCATGAATCAAACTAAACCAAGTAGATGGTAGGTGAATTCCATAGTCCTAGGTCCTTATATTTTAAGTGGTTGAATCAAATTTATTTGCTAAATTCTCTCTTGCCATTTTAGTCTTTTATCATTGTTAAATTTTCTGTTTCATTTATCATTATTAGTTGCTAGTTTTAGTTGTTAAACATCTTGCAATTTTATTGATCTAAAAAATATAAAGAAGTGGTTTAGACTTGGTAATTTGATATCCTTCTTTGTAGGAATGACCTTACTTCCACTGTATTACGGTTGTTTAGTAAGTAATTTATATAGAGGCTTAAAAGCATATCAATAT